GGCTTGTTTTACAACGTCGTTGCCAAGCGACGAAAACCCAACCCCGATGGCAAACACCGGGGGGGGCGGGGGGGTATTGTTGGCATGGACAGAAACCATGATGTTGAAGGGTTGTATACGGTTACCGACTGCGCCCCCCCCCTCTTGATAGAGCCAAAATGAATCCGCGTTGGTTACGTGCGCCCTTGTACAACGACACTTTCCACAGGGTGAACACACACGGAGGTGTATTGCACGTCTTCCCTGGATATCCAAGCCCAGGAGGTTATTTTCTCTAGTCGGCTCAAGAACCAGCTACCTGTGTCGCAGCAGAGTGTTCAGTTCCCGCTACCCTAAGACGCCGTGGCCTAAGCAGCAGCAGGTGGTCATGGGCCGAACGGCGGCGCAGAGTAGATTCAGGAATGCTGGCCTTACAGGTCAACCTCAGCAGACAACGAACCACGGCCTCAAGATCAGAGGCATTGAAGGAACGGTTGGTGGTAGGGAGCGCCATGATCGACCTCGGTTCTGCCACGTACCGCGATCTCCTACCTATTTTCACGCGGGACAATACGGACATGACTAAACGAGAGGCCGAATGTTGACGGGGGCTTTGTGCAATAATAGTGATGAACAAAAGTTCGAGTGCTTATACTTTCGAAATACGTGTCATCCAGAGGCAGGGGTCGTGTCCACCCAAAGTCGTCACATCCGAACACGCGCGCCAAAAGCAAGAGGAAACAAATGCACCGGCAACTTCAATTGTTGAACCCAACGGACGATAAAGAGGTGGTTTCGTTGTGCTCTGCACCGCAAGGATGAAGAAAATAACACATGAATTTCTTTTGCATTGCGTTAAAAATCAATGCAAGTGTGATGCTACCGACAGAGCACCGGTGTTGAGCCCTCAAAAAAGGGGGGAGAGGGAAAGCATCACCTTAGAGGACGTTCTCAAAACACAGCACCGAAAAAAAACTTGTCGCGACGTCAGACCACACCATAAAAAGAGAGAGAGCAGCGCCGTGATGAGAGAAACAGGCTGTGGTGGAATCCGCTGAGGATAAACGACAAACGCCAACAGCGTAGACTACAGCGAAACTCTGGGGACACCAAAATCGCGATCTGCAGATGGGAAGCGCATGGAAGTCGCGAGCAAACACGAAAAAGAGAGAACAGACTACTGGGAACCTTGGAGAGTCGAAGGCATGGCACCGCGGGGACGAACGTGAAAAAAATTGGGCGCCTCAACTGATGGTGTGTAAAATAGACATACCGATAGTTGGGGACTGGCGCCCACAAAAAATGAGTTGAAAAAGAAGAGAAAAAGCATAGTTGGCAGCGACAAGAACGAAAACAAAGAAAAAATAACAAAGCAAAGTTCAAGTTCGGAGGGAACAGATACCTGAAACTACAATAGCGCGGACATTCTTTTCGGTCATTAGAACCACGACAGCGACCTAATGACCTACCGAGACTCCCGTCCCCAAACGCCGAAACTTATCCAGAACCAACAGAGGTATGCGCGAAATCGTCAGAGCAGCAAAACCAACCCCCACACCCCACAAAATATCTCATATTTTGACAAATACTACTTAATACTGTAGAGCAAACAAAAAGTCGGCAGTCCAAGGACCTCCGATTTTGCCCAAAACTACTTCATTTCCTCCAATCGAAAAAAATAACTAGGATCCCCAGGAGGGCGGGAGGGGGGACAGAAGTTATCGCAGAAACGCTAGAGCTACAGTAGACGCTTCCAGTTGACAAAAAGTCTGGGCCTTCAACAAAGGGATGGCCCGAACAACTACGCTACATCACGAACTACTACTGGTGAATCTGCTTAGTAGACAATCGGGAGGCGGGGGCGAGCCGTAGGATATATCGTATGCCAGATGCTTCCGCACCTTAAACCTGAACAGTCACCGCAGAGAAGACCCGGACGATCACTACATATGACAATGACGCACCACCACCTATCTTGCTTACACGGGCAAACAGCAAATACATTACTTCCCTCAACAAGCGTACACCAGGAAACCGTTCTGATAAACTTCCCCTTAGACAACGCTCGGCACCGTCTTGCTGCAGAGGATAGGACAAGGGATGTTTCGGTGAAACCCAATACCACCCAGGCGATCGAAAACACACATCGCATCCCACTTTTCCGGCGCAACATCCACTTTTGCCAATGCTCTCTCTTCTCCTGGCGCGTCAATATTGTATGACATACTAACGCTATTTTCGGAAGCCAGAAGCTTCCACTTCCTTCTTGTGCGTTATCCACAAGACATCACCAACCGAGAGCAAAGGGGTTCAGACGGCCAAACAGCTTTGCCGGGTCCCCAAAGCCGAGCCACCACGCATGTACCCAGGGTAGCCCACCACAAACGTTGCACCTAGCAATATGTCCGCGGCGTACGACGTTGAGAAACAGGCGCTAGACCCATCTACTCTCAAGAGGACACTGCTGCAGGCATTGCTCTGCACCACGACAGTCAACACGGAGGTACCGCGAACGTCCTGCAGATCATCCGCAATGGGTGTGTTCGTTGCATTCAGTTCGCTAGGGAAAGGCTGCAGCCAAGACGGACGACGTACTGTGTTTGCTTCACTTCGACGACGTTGTCCCTGTTCGCTGCTGCGACGAAGGGTGGACATCGAAAGATCTCCAACACTTGATAGCCCTTGAGGTTCTCGTGTCGAGCGTCTCCAGGGGGGGACGGGGGGGGGGGGCCCTCCGCCCCCCTCGGCCTTTTCTTTTAGTGGTAGGGGTCTTCTGTGATGATGACGCCCGTCTCTTTGTGGCGCCAGAACTTTTTCCCATCGGTTTCCTTGTAGCATTCGTCCCACCGGTAGCCGCCGCTGCCGCTGCCATCGCCGCCGGCAGTAGCCGCGGATGGCGGAACGGAGGAGTTACTACGCCTCTGCCGCCGAGCGCGACGCGGCTGGCGTGGCAGTGTTTCCCACGCTTGCCCCGCGGCGAAGCACGAGGACTGGTTCTGCACCGGGTAGGCGTGTTGATGCGGCGGCGGCGGCAGCTGCTGGTCGCACCGGTACCCGCACGGGGGCGACACGCCGCCGGTGCCGGGAGAGAAGTACCCGCGCACGTGGGGCGGCGTCATGACCGGGGGCGACACGTAGCCGTTGTAGGGCGGCGACGCGTAGCCGCTGATGGGTCGGTCGTCGGCCGGCGGGGCTGTGCAGCCGTAGAACGGAGGCGTCACGCGGCCGCATTCCGCCGGCGTCACGCACGCGTCGGCCTGGGTCCTGCACCCGCTCCGGAACGGCGTCACCGCCACGGGCGATGCGGATTGCCGCTGCAGCAGCTGCGACGGCAACGACAACGACGACGGCGGGGCGTAGCTCCCGTTTTTGCTGGGGTCTTCCAGCGTGGCTTCGTGTGTTACCCCGTTGTACCTGTTTTCGACGGAAGGAACGAGCGGGATGGTTTGGCGGGAGTTGTTTTTGCTCGTGGCTCGCACGCATTGTGGTGGACTGCAATCAAGATGGCCAGCTTGCGACACGACGGAATACTCTAGGTGTGTTTGGAATTCAGAGCGGCGGCCGGGATGACGAGCGAGAAAGGGTGTGTGACTTGTTGCGACAAAGTGCGAAAACCGGTGGCTTGGTGGCTGTCGGCTGTACCTCTAAATACGTAGCTGTAGCCGAGCAGAGACGATCCTGCGATGCACAACCTATGTTCAGCAGCATTAAGTCTACGTGTACTCACCAGAACGAACGACCACTACCGTCACGGGCACCCGTCCATTCAACGGCCGCTTCCGACGCCTCGAAGCGCTTCTCTCCCAGCACAGCTTTCGCTGCATAGGCCAGCATCTTGGTCAACAACGTGTGAAACCGTGGCAAGTGCAGACCGGCCGTTGAATAGGTGCTATTGCTGTTCTTGATTATCGAGAGCTCGAAGGCGGCAGAACCCAGGTTTTCCCCCGCCGTGACGCCCGGAAAAAGAGACGGTGTATGCGTCACGTGCCCTGTGCGGAAGGATGGGACCGGACAGGACGGGGGAGAAAGGCACAGCCGGCGATACAAAAGCTTTTAGAGGGGAACGTGATGTCGAGAGACCTGGTAAGAAAGGGTGAGGTGCGGAGGCTCAGCTCTCATTTCGTGCATAGCATTCTGTCTGATTCCGCAGAGACCTCCAACACGGAGAAAAATACTTCACGCCTCAAGGGGAGCCAAGTCCACGACCTGCTCCCAGCTTCGGAAGCTTGACAGATTCCTGGCGTCAAACTCGCTCGGAAGTATAGACTCTGCCACTGAGTTCGTGTCTGATCGTGACAGTATCGACGTTGTTTTGGTTCTTTGTTGTTTCGTATCGAACACGCCTGTCAATCGAGCTCTTCATCCCCTGCAATATTGTTACAGCACAGCGGGAAAAATCTAAGTCTTTTCTCTCTGTGAACCGCGCGTAATTGCCATACGAAAGTAGGAAAGGTCAACAGCGGCAACCGTTTCCCTACCATGGAGGGCCACGTGGTTCTACCTTTTGTGACCACGACGAAAGAGAAATTGAACAGATCAAGGGCACACATTCTCAACTGGACATGAGGGAAGTGTAGCGAACGGTATATTGTATGGTTTGGCGGTTGTGGCCTCCTGGCCACAGAATCGAGGACTTTTGGTGTTTGGGCCGCCACTGCTGAAGGCACAAAAAAATGTCGTTTGGCGAGGGATGCTGGCAGCGTGTCTCGCTTGGGAGCTCATGCGATTGGGGGCCTCACAAACAACAAGGCGAGGGGTCAAGAATATACCTCGCTTGTATTTGCAGGAATACTCGGAATGCTATCTTAACTCAGATTCCACCGAGTCTACGGCGAAGGCTGTGGTGGACAATTCATCGATTGCAAAAGACGCCCTTCGCAAGAAACTCGGTAAATACGCACGGCGTCGCAACGTCCACAAAAATTTCACAACTCCGCGTACAACACGGGCACATCCGTGGGCCACACGCAGTCGCAAAAATCAGCATTCAGCCCTTACTAGACAAAGATGCTGCGGCCGAAGCAGGAAAGCCTCACCCCAACGTGTTTGGGGTCAAGGATGGACGTCGGGCTGCACACACACGCCCGTGCCTGCAAGAATTAATTATAGACTAGCCGCCGCGAACGCGTCACCACCAAGCATTGCTGCGAGAAAACTCACTCTCTTCCAGGGCTTCGTTCAGGCCGCCGGTCTTCTCACTACAGTACCACTGCTGCTTTTGGTTGTTGCCCGTTCACTGAGGTGCACGGCAGGCAGAAATGACGTTTCTGGCTTCAGAACCCCATGTGTCCGCAAATAACAACCATCCAACCTCCACTCACGTAAGTTGCCCTGATGTGTAGAGAGAGAAAATCGGGAAGCGGCTTGGCGAAGTGAGGAATGAGCTTTTCTGGGGTGCTTTGTCGGACGATGATGGCTTCTCAGGATCTTGCTTGATCAGCACTCGCCAAGGCGAAGAAGTCCGCAGCAGTTGTTGGATGTGTGGTGTGTGAGGGAACAGGGGGTGTTTTCTGCTTGTGGGGTGGTGGTGCGCTTCTGGAGCAGCCGAGAGATGGAACAGATTGATGATTGAAGATGAGTGTGGTGACGCGCCTTGTTCTCCGGGCCATTGTATGCACAAAGAGAGCATGCTGATACTTTGGCGCTGCAAAAAGGTACGTAGACTAGCTACTATCTCTATACGAATATAGACATGCTTCCCTGGCTCTCTGCTTCTACAATACCCCATGGTCATGGAAATCGATGAAAGCCAACTATATCTACGAGCGGTATCCTCGACCCCAGATCGAGATCCTTGATCTGAAGCCTCCAGTTTGAAAGAGCCTCGATCCTAGTGCAGTCCGATCTTTTGAGCAACATGGGTAGTACGACTGGAAAAGGGATCCAACGTGCCTCATTTTGAGCCGGTCTCGACGCAACATTGCATAAGACTACATAAACACGGAGTCTGCTGTAGATGACGGCACGTGTAGACGTTTATCGTAAGAGGGAACGCGTCAGTAGAATGAGAGAGAGAGAGAGAGAGAGAGAGAGAGAGAGAGAGAGAGAGAG